CTTTGTTAGTCATTGTTTAAAGATTTTTCAAAGATTTTTTTTATGTGTATGAGAGTTCTGCCTGCATGTACACATGTACACTATTGAATTTTGTGTCTTGTGCCCACAGAGGCCAGAAGAAAGCATCAGATCCCCTGGAACTGGACTATTAGCTGAGGTGTGGGTGCTAGAAACTAAATGCAGGTCCTATGTAAGAGCAGAAAGTAGTCATAACTGCTGTAGCCTTTCCAGCCTGACTTTTTTTTTTTTTTGAAACAGAAACCATGTAACTTCATCCCTTTAAATCTTCCAAGTATCTACAGTAAAAAAAAAAAACAACTCAATTATCTTTTTACCAGTAAAGTCTTTCAGATCTCAAAAAGACACCACCACAATAAAAATTAGGATATACGTTTCAGTAAGCACAACTAAAATGTTCCATCTTCTATGGCTTATAACACACTGGAAAGCTGCCTCAGGAACTAACATACATGCAATAGTGCGTTAAAAGATAAACTAACAGGTTACCTCCTACTTTTAAATCCTGGAGGTTGCCATTATATTGTGAACAGTGGAAGAAAAGTCTGGCTTGCCGTTCTGAACACTGAATAAATCCGTAAGAGGTCAACAGTTTCTCAATGACCCCAGTTTCGCGCAGTGCTGCAGAAGTACCATTGGGGTACCCATTGTGTCCATTGTTGTGGAGAAGGTTTGGATCAAAGCTCATCTGTTTTAAAAAGAAAAAAATACAAACAAAACAAACCACTCAATATATATACAGATCTGTCCATAATATCCATAGCATTCTAAATCTTATTAAAAGATATTTCTTTGTTATGGAAAGGTAAAAAAAAAATGAAGTTAAGATTTCTTTTAAAAAAGTTAGCTTACAGACTTTTACTACCAAAATACTTTAGTTAACATTTCAGAAGAAATTTTAAGTAATTGCTGTCACTTATGAAAGAATTCTCACTCATTAAAAAAAAAAAAAAAACAATTCCTGAAGCTTAATACTAAGGTAAAGCAACGATATTAACTTTCAATTTCTGAAACAATTATAGAACAAAAGTAATCAACATAAAAAAACTAAAATTTATTAACACCTATGTTTATATTAAATATAAACATTAAAGTAGGTATCTTCACACTAGTAAGCCATGCAGGTTGAATTCATAGTTAGTAGGGATTAACACAATAAAATAAACTTTCTATTCTACGCTTAATTCAAACTAAAACAAAAGGGGGGCACAATGCATGTTCAAGTCCATGAAAAAAAAATAATTGAAAAAAGTGAGTCAAAAACTCTAATAAAAAAATCCCCAGCCAAGAGTTGTCTGACAATGATAATTCCTAAGCACTCAAGACCTTTTCCCTACTAAGAAACCAAGCAGTACCCAGATCCTAACAACATTTCTAAATAATGTCATCTGTTTCTATAATCAGGTCTATGATCTGACAAAGCAAAAGAAACATTCTTCAGTGAAAAACTGAGCAGCTACAATACAATGGAATCGGTTTAGGTCAAATACCTTGGGTATTTCATAAATCATAAAAGTAAATTATAAATTTAAAAGAAGCATAAAATGGAAAAAAGAATCTAGTAAAGGCTAGCTGAGTAATTTAGCACAGAAGCACTATCTTCAAGTCTTTACATTCTGTTTTAAAGTCCCTTTCACTGAAATTATGACACAAGCAATTTCACTTACATGAAAACATTGAACAATTATTAAAAGGCTTTATCTTCAAATGAGCAAAATTCTTTTTTATTTTATGTGCATGATGAGCATTTTGCCTGCAGTATATCTATGAACCACACACTGCCTACTGTTCATGACAAGCACTGGTTCCCTGGAACAGACAATGGGGGTACTAGGAATCAAATCTGGGTACTCAGAACAGCCAGCACTCTTAACCACTGAGCCGTCACTCCAGCAAAGACCAAAATTCTTGCAAGATAAACAGTTAAACTGGGTCTTGCTGGAGCATGCCTTTAATCCCAGCACTCAGGAGGCAGACACAGGTGATCTAATAAATTCCAGGCCACCCTGGTCTACAGAGTTCTAGGACAGGTAGGGCTACACAGAAATTCTGTTTCAAACTCAAACACACACACACACACACACACACACACACACACACACACACACACACACGATAAACAGTTAAATATGTGGTACTCAAAATACGCAAATCAAAGCGCACCTGTTAGTAATTAAGTTCTATTTTCTTTACACAAGACATTGTTCTGCAGTGTATCAACTCAATTTTCACAAAAGTCCGTAAAAGTAATATACTATGCCCATTTTACCAAGGAGGAAACAGAATCACTTGCCAAAAATCCTCTGGTAGATGACTCAAACCATGGGCTTAAGCCACTTGGCAATTCAATTAAAGCACAAGAATCAGATTAAGTGAAGATAGGTTCTGAAATCCTCCACTTCCAACAAGTTCTAAGCAAGCAATATGAATGTTTCGGACTCTCAGACTTTCTTTGAGCAGCAGCCTAAACTACTAAAGTTACCTTTGAAATTCAAAGTGAACAAAATGATTAGAAAGTTATAGTGAGTCTGTAGGCATTTCAACAAGACCACGCAGCCCTCATAAGCCATGCTTAACATGATGCACGACAAACTGCATCACTCCTTTCCTGACTTACAGATCTCTGGTAAGTGGGGTTCCGCTTTTGTTTTTTTGTCCCAGATGAGGTAGAAGACAAGGGTAAAGAAAGTGAAGGAGGGGTTGCAGGAGTAGGTTGAGGATCTGATGACAAGGTAAATACGTTCTCCATAACAAACAGCTGTGGCAACATAGCATAATGTTAACAAGTATGATCTGTACAAAAAGGTCAAACTGAAAAGTATTCTCAGATACATTAAACAATTATCATCCTATGTTCTACATAGTTTTGAAAATGTCATAGCCATTTTCAAAAGTGGTAGCCAGGCAGTGGAGGTCCATGCCTTTTATCCTAGTGCTTCTTTAATCAGAAGAAGGTGGATCTTCGAGCTCAATGGCAACCTGGCCTACAGAGGGAGGTCTACAGAGCGAGCTCCAAGACATCTAGAAATACACCAAAAACCCTGTGTTGAAAAAAAAATTCAATGGGAAATAGAATAAAAATGCTGCAATTACATTTCTGCCTGAGATAAAAATTAGTTCTGAAAATTAAACTACAACTCACTAGGCTGACAGTGAAGTCCTTATTTCTTTATTCATTTGCTCTCAGCACACTACAGTTTAAATATACCCAACAGAATGACCCTACACATTCAGTTATCCAGCCAACTCCACAGCAGAGGCACTTTCTGCAGAAACTTATGTGGAAGGTAAGTACAAGCACATGGGAGTTGACATTTCTATTCCCAGTACTAGCTATTCAACCTCATTATGAAAGAAATGACTACTTAATGAGGTCTAGTGAGTATGTCAGGCTTATATTAGCTGCAAAAAAACATACTACATATATAATATCCCTGTGATATCAATTCATAATAGGATGAAGTTTAAACCAAAACAAAAAAGCCAAGCATGGTGGTTCATGTGTATACCTAACATTTGACAGCATAAAGCAGGAAGACTGAGTTGAAGGCCAGCACGAACTACAATGAAATCCTGTTCGACAAAGAAGATAAAATAGCACAAACAGGGGCTGGAGAGATGGCTCAGAGGTTAAGAGCACTGACTGCTCTTCCAGAGGTCCTGAGTTCAATTCCCAGCAACCACATGGTGGCTCACAGCCATCTATAATGAGATCTGGTGCCCTCTTCTGGCTTGTAAGCATACATGGAAGGAATGGTGTATACATAATAAATAAATCTTTAAAAAAAATAGCACAAACAAAAACAATCCTCCAAAACAGTGGTTTTCAAGCTGTGGGTCACAACCCTTGGGAGAGGGAGTCACCTAAAACCATTAGTTATGAAATAGCAATGAAAATAATTTTATGGTTGTGGTCACCACAACACGAGGAACTGTATTAAAGGATTGCAGAAGAGAACCAGTGCTCCCAAACAAAGCAAATACTTAAACCAAGCATGGTAATACATGATTTCAATCCCAGCACCTAGTAAGTAAAGACTTGTTACCAAAAAATTTAGAAACAAAAAGGAATCAAGAAATACTGCCCACAAAACAAATGAGTATACAAACCATACTTATCTGTGAAGATAACAGAAATCTGCATAAACAGTAACCTATTTTCATAACATTTCTCATGTTTATTATATGTACTCTTCCAAGACAATCCAGTATAATAACACAATCCATAAATACACTTTCATAGGCTTCTTGCTGACATATAATCAAATTAATTTGAGGACCATTATTCTAGGCTACCGACTTAGATCATGAACTACGAAGTCCTATTTCTTTATATTTAGATCTTAATCTTACCACGTGGTCCTTAGAAAGACTTACTTAGTAGCAAGATATTGGGATCCAGGCTATACTGCTCTTTGATCTTCTCTCTAAATCTCCACTGACCTAACCTCTTTTCTGTAGGCTTTAACCACTTTAGAGACTGTTTAATCCCTTGTAGGAAAACATATACTCAACTTTATTTAGTTTTTGATGTTTTAAACCAGTCTCGTAATATAGTTCTAGTTGGCCTTGTACTATGTAGCATAGGCTAGACTTGAAATAGCAGTCTTTCTGCCTTTGAGTGCTGAAAATACAATTTTGAAAATGTTTTAATTTTTTTCAAAGAACTCCTAATAATTTGAGTAAATTATATACTTTTATGTAATTACACTTATTTCTTCACCAACATTGCCAAAAACCTATTCCCAGCACTTGGAAGGAGACAGGAGGATCTGTGAGTTCAAAGACAATCTGGTCCACATACCTAGCTTGGAGAGGGAAGGGGGATGAAGTAAACAGAATGGAATATTCAATATAAAAACCCACAAAAGCCAACACTTATGTAATGCAAAGTGCTCAGAAAGAATGAAAAAAAACTAAAAAGGGGGGTGATATCACAATTTCTAAATTTGAAATCAATTTTTAAAAATTCAAAAGGCTTTTGATGACTGTTCCTCCTATTGCCTCCAGGTATAGCACTAGGATCTTAGGTCATCATAAATTAAAATTGATTTTTTTTCACTCAGAGAATATTAAGATATTGGGGTTATCTATATATTCTTTGAAATTTGTGGGATCAAACAATTAAAAAAAATTCAAAAGGCCTTTGATTTTTGTATTTGCAAAGTTTTATACTCATCTGAGGGAAATATGCAGTTAATTTCATAGAAATATTAAAGAATTTAAGTAAATCTGTAGAATTAAATTACCAGAACATGACTTTGAGAACTATGACTTTTTGTTCAACTAAATCCCTGGAGTCTAAACAGTGGATGCCCAAAGTATAGATACTCACTTGTTTGAACTATTAAAAGGTTCTACAACAAATGAACAAATCAATGAATTAATTTTGAAGACTTTGAGAAAATTTGAGCTTTGTCAATGATTAAAATACCTCTGACAGAGACACTTAAGGAAATGTTCGACATCCTTAGTCATCAGAGAAATGCAAATCAAAACAACTATGAGATTCCATAGTTGATCCATGTAAGAATGGCCAAGATTACCCCTTTGGATATCAGTGTGGCAATTTCTCAGAAAATTAGGAAACAGCCTTCCTCAAGACCCAGTAATACCACTTTTGGGTATATATCCAAAGGATACTCAATCGTGTCACAAGGACATGTACTCATCTATGTTCATAGCAGCATTGTTTGTCATAGCCAGAACCTGGAAACAACTTAAATGCCCCTCGACCAAAGAATGGATAAGGAAAATGTGGTACATTTACTCAATGGAGTACTACACAACAGAAAAAAATAACAACAGCTTGAATTCTGCAGGAAAATGGATGGAGCTAGAAAACATTATTTTGAGTGAGGTAACCCAGACACAGAAAGACAATTATCACATGTACTCACTCATAGGTAGATTTAAAACATAAAGCAAAGAAGCCAGCCTACAAACCACAATCCCAGAGAGCTTGAGGACACTAAGAGATTTACATAGATCTAATCTACATGGGAAGTAGGAAGTAGAAAGTAGAAAAAGACAAGATCTCCTGAGTAAATTGGGAGCGTTGAAGGGGGGAGGGGAGAGAGGCAGGGAGGGGAGTAGAGAAAAAATGTAGAGCTCAATAAATATCAATTAAAAAAAAAAACCCTCTGACAGTCAGACTATGGTGACTGTAACAGCTATCGATGTCCTTCATATCCCAAACCTGAAGGACCCTGTCATGACAGAATAAAAATCCTCTTGCTTTTGCATCAACTTGTGGTTATGTGAGTGGTATTTGGAGCAACTCCTCCCTGATGTTTGGACTTCTGGTCCAACAGTATCTCTGTGTACAGAGGCAATGGAGGTCAGAAGAGGCCATCAGATCACCTGGGACTGCAGTTACAGGCAGTTGTGAGCCGTGTGGATGCTGGGGATTGAACCCTGGTCCTCTGAACTAGCAGCCAGGGCTCTTATCTACTGAGCCATCTCTCCAGCCCCTTAGTAAATATCCTTGCCGGCAGCGGAGGTGGTGGCGGCGGAGGCGCAGGCCTTTAATCCCAGCACTCGGGAGGCAGAGGCAGGCGGATCTCTGTGAGTTTGAGACCAGCCTGGTTTACAAGAACTAGTTCCAGGACAGGCTCCAAAGCTACAGAGAAACCCTGTCTCGAAAAACAAACAAACAAACAAACAAAAAAGGTAATATAGGAGCCAGGGTGGTGTGTCACGCCTTAAATCCCAGCACTCAGGAGGCAGAAGTAGATGGAGCTCTGAGTTTGAGGCCAGTCTGGTCTACAGTGCAAGTTTTAGGACAGCCAGGACTACACAGAGAAACCCTGTCTTGGGGGAAAGAAAAATAAAGAAAAGAAACATATCTGTGGTGGTGGTGGTGGCAGCTAAGAGCACTTACTTGCTCTGCTCTTGCTAAGGATGTAGGAACTCAAGTTCCAGGGAATCCAACGTCTCTTCTGGCCTCTGAAGAATCTTGTAAGTACATAGTGCATAAACATACACTCAGATACCAACAGACAGACACATACACACAATAAAAAGAAACTGCTCAACAATAGGCCTGTGTGCTTCTTGAAATAAGACAAATTATTTCCATTCAACTTCATTTGCAACATTTTAAAATATGGTTGTCAGCTTTTTGAAATCATCTTCCTCTGCGCTCCTTCCTCTGTGGCTGTGCTGCTTTTCTTTAATGACTTCTTCACAGTATTTCTCCTTTACCTCTTATAAACTAATGGTCCCTTCTCAATTCCAAGACTTTGCATTTAGAAACTCTAGAAACTAAGAACTCTGTTCTCCCTAGATTTATCTTCACTGAACTTGTTATAAGACTCACTGACCATTAGAACCCTACTGTCTGCCTGTTTCTCCATCTATACACCAGCCTGTCTTAAATATCTATTTACTCTCAGCAGATGTTCTCATCTTCAAGTTATCTCTCAAATGAATCTAAAGGAATCAAGCTATCTTACCTTTGAAAAGCAAAATTCATTAAAGATGTTAATAGTTATCAAATAGCTCCCATTCATATAGAACAGAGTCAATATACTATACTGTACCTTTCACAACCTGGATCCAAAAAGCTTCTCTGTCCAGTTACTCTATGACACCCCACAAAACTGTACTCTCTAGTCTGTATGTAACTAGACTGCTCAATACAGTCTTGTGCTCACAATCTGAGAACTGTTACTTCTGTACTCTAGCGGAAGAATCCTTTCTCTTGACAAAGTGCTGCTTTGTCCACATACCCCCCTCTGTGAACTGCCCCTTATAGTCTCAGCACTTAGTACCTTTTCTTTTAGTCTACATTCAACAGTGATATTTTGCAACAAAATGCTTTAATTCAAGTCCGTGAACACTTTATTCTCTACCATACTCCAGCATGAGCAATTCATAACAATACACTAAGTATGTAAACCATCCATAAACTACCATGTCGAGCTTTTATATTCTTAACCAATGAAAATACAAACCTACCTCGCAGTGATAATCAAATATTGCACTTTCAGTAGTATTTGCTGACTTTTCTTTTGCAGCACGAGTTCCAAAGGTTGAAAGTTGCTAGATTTTTTTTTTCAAAAAAAAAAAAAAAAAAAAAGAGCGAGAGGAAATGATCTATCAAGCTAATAAAGAATACAACTGCTGCTGCACCGGGCAATCTCACAGTACAGCACTGAAGAAAACAAAGACTACTAGCAGCGTTGGGAAGTGCTCTTTCAAAGCTGTTGAGTAGGCACAAACTTCTTGTTTCAGATCAAGTGTTGTGTCTTCAACTTGTGTACTCTTCTTTGGTGTTGCTGGTTGTTCCGGGTCTGTTCTTTGCCTGATCTGAACTTGAAGCAGCAGTTTCAGGTGGTAAAGTCTGTTCCGTTACACTTCATACTGGAGACAGAAACAAAGACAAAGTACAGCTAGTAGAGAACCTGGGGAAGACGGCTGGCGGCTTAGAATCACTGTCCCTGATGCAGGTAATTTGGAGAGTTCAAGTGAGGACTACCTACATTCTCTGCCAAGATTCCAAATTATTCCAAAGTCCTGCTAACTCCCACCCCTGACCACCTGCAAATTACACAACATAGTATTCAGTTAGGACAAGCATCTTACAGAAACCCAGCAGTATGTTAGGTTTTAGGAAAAGATAACATAACTCACCATTGGAGTTTACACTGGAGATAACTAGAGCACAGGACACAAAATTTAGCTGCTAAGCTGGGTGCTGCATGCCACATACTATTCTAGAAATCACACTCCTTTCACCACTGTAGGAACAGCAAAGCAGCATGCTGAGTACAGACTAAGATAGGGAATCTGAACAGAATCTGGAAAGCTAAAATAAACAACTAAGTATCCTATGTATAAACATGATCTAAGAAAAGTCTAAATAGCCACGAAATTCTAAGTTCTTGGAAATCAGGAACATTGCGGTATTATATGACTTCTCTTCAAGAACCTTATTAGCCGGGCAATGGTGGCGCCTGCCTTTAATCTCAGCACTCGGAAGGCAGAGGCAGGCGGATCTCTGTGAGTTCGAGACCAGCCTGGTCTACAAGAGCTAGTTCCAGGACAGGCTCCAAAATTACAGAGAAACTTTGTCTTCCAAAAAAGAGAGAGAGAAAGAGAGAGAGAAAGAGAGAACCTTATTATTGTGTGTGTAAGGTGTATGAGTGGCAATCATGCAGGTGTAGACATCAGATGTTTTTTGGGGGTAGTCAATTCTTCCACCTTAGGCTTTCATTTAACTCAGTACCTTTATCCACTATGCCATCTGGTTGGTCATCATGAGATCTTTTATTTTTATATATATTTATTTATGATTTTTCGAGACAGATTTCTCTGGAGCCCTGACTATTCTGGAACTCAATCTGTAGACGAGGCTGGCTGAGAACTCACAGAGATCCACCTGTTTCTGCCTCCTGAGTGCTGGGATTAACCTCCCACCACTCCTGCGCCACCACCGCCTGGCTTAAAATAATACTTTCATTTGAAAACTACCACAAGAAAGAATGGTGCCAGGATGGTGCTGGTAAGTTTATTTGGTGCTCCAGTTTGATAACCTGAGTCCAATCCCTGGGCCCCAATGAAGGAGAATGGAGCCAGGCCAGTGGTGATACATGCTTTTAATCCCAGAACCAGGAAGGCAGAGGCAGGCGAATCTCTGAGTTCCAGGCCAGCCTGGTCTACAGAGCAAGTTCCAGGACAGCCAGAGCAACAAGGAAACACTAGTTTGACACCTCCCCTCCAAAAAAGATTTAAGTGATGGAACAAAAAACCCCAAAGTTGTCTTCTGATCTCCATACCTATACCTTGGCACAGTCATAATCAACATACACTAATTAAGAAAAGAATGACTATAAGGTGACCTGGATGTGGTGGGACATGCCCACAATTCCAGGACAGCCAGGACTATACAGAGACCCTGTCTCATACAAACAAACAAAAATTATTACTACATTTATTTGCTGGAGGGGGTTGTCATTGTGTGGGGGGAGTG